AAACTATTGTATGACCAGAAATGACTTAACAAGAGTTTAAATAAAGGAATAATCTAATCCCATTTATGAAAATAAGATGTAGTTTGAGATTTAAATAGTGTCCTAGTATTACTGACTTTTAAAAAAGAACCAATAAAAACTGCATTTAAAACCATAATGTACACAATGACAGTCTGGTCAATCCCTTATGTGTGCACATTAGTCAGGGAAACCCCATATTTGTCTTCAAAAGAACACCTACCTTTAATGTGGATCCCAGCTTTGAAACTGCAAATTACATTTCCCCAATGCATGTTTTTTTAAACTATGTTCAAGTATCTTAGGTTTCTTTCCTGTTGCTGTGGATTGCTGTGGCCCTTTCACCACTTCTAAAATGCCAGTAAAAAAGCGGCTCACATTTCTTTAACTTCCTCCTGTCATGTTTAGACACCCATTCACATCCTTCCTAACTGCATTTGGTACTTCAACAGTAAGTTGTTGTTTGACTGTCAGGCAACGGTTGGTACGCTCTGTATTTCAAAATGTCACAACTGTAACAGCTGTAATAATTACGGTGGTTAGCACGGTTGCCTCACAGCATAAAGGTTCTGAGTTCAATTCCACCATCAGTCATTCTATGTGGAGTTTACATGTTCTCCCTGTGTTTGCATGCTCTGGTACTCTGGCTTCCTCCCACAGTCCAAATACATGCTGTTCGTGGAGATAGGTTAACTGGAAACTCTAAATTGCGGGAATGTGAGTGCGAGTCTGTGTCTATGTGTTAGACTGGCAACCTGTCCAGGGTGTACCCTGCCTCTCGCCCTGAGACAGCTGGGATAGGCTACAGCCCCCCACCCTGAAAAAGGATAAGCAAAAGAGATGGATAATAGTTGTAATTGTATATGTAGAGAAGTAAAAATTGCATTTTTTTTCTCTCTTTGTCAGGTAAATCTGTTCAGTGACTTGTATACACAGATATCCAATCAACCAAGCTCATGTGAGCAACTCAAAGCATTTAGGCTTACTGACATGTTAAAGATTGTTGTTGCTTGAGGTTTCTCTGAGTATTTCATGAATTTGATCAGTGGTCTTTGATCAGTGGTCATGAGAATTTGCATAATCATGATGAAGGAACTGACCTCCCAGCCCATTGTTCATTCAATGAGCTGGTTTCAGTCATTATGCAAGTGTACTGTTTACAAGATTGGGGAAACCTGCAGTCAGCTGAGACTGAAGAAGTCACTTGGATGAGTGACGAAACGTTTCTCCCACTGAAAACGCTACGTCCAGATGAACAGAGTCAACTTTTGGAGATTTCATGAATTAATAATTTAGTGGGATTTTCCCCACATAATTTCTACACTTTACAGAGAATGGTCTGAAAAATAAAAAATATCCACTGAGCAGTAGTTCAATGGATATTTTCACCTTAAGAACAGGAAACTTAGGCTAAAATGAACCTAAACTCACCAAAACTGGGCAGTAGAAGACTGGAAAAACATTGCCTGGTAATGGTTAGAATTTGGAGTAAACAACACAAAGCATGGATCCATCCTGCCTCGTATCAATGGTTCAGACTGGTGATGGTGGAGTTTTGAGTATTTTCTTAGAACACATTGGGCCCCTTTGTACCATTTGATGCTCATTCAAATACCACAGCCACTCGAGTATTGTTGCTGACTATATCTATCTTTTTATGCCCACAATATACCCATCCATGCATGCATTTGCTTCCGCTTATCAGTGTCGCGGGGGATGCTGGAGCCATGACAGTGACTTCACTGGCCTATGCAGTCACCAGATTTCAATCCAGTTGAACACTTCTGGGATGTGGTTGAATGGAAAATTTGCATCATGGATGTGTAGTTGACAAATCTGCAGCAACTACATGATGTCAGTTCAATATGGACAAAATCTCTGAGAAATGTAGTTGTCAGTAATTGCAATTTGAACCACACTGGTGGATGAGAACAAAACCAATCATTGCAGTCTCTCTAACACCAGGCACCTTGTGCATAGTAACTTGGTCCGGTTAAATGCACCTCTTAAGAAGTATCATCATACATGAATCACAAGGAGGGGAACATGTTAATTTTAAAGTAAATTTTAAGTTAACCAGCCATGTTTGAAAAGCCTTAGAAGGTTGTTTAAAAGCAGTGTGCACTTGCTCCAATGCTTACACACGTTGTGGAAGTTTTCCATTAAATAAAGCCTGCAGACATCGGTGAGCAGTAGCTAACATTCTTTAATCAAGACAAAGAACAGAAAACCAAGCTTGGTGGAGAGCATGCATGATAGTGGGGCAGACGGTCAGCAGATTCTCTCTCTGAGCCTAGCATGGCTCTCAGTTAAATACCTTGTCCAGGAACAAAAGGCAGTACACAGCTATTTCACACCTTAAGGTTCACACTCCCTTGCTACCTCCCAGAGTCGCTGAAGAGACAAAAGATTCTTCCTGTGGAGTTTTCTGCTTCCCCCAACTTCCTTACCAGACCCCCACCCTCTGTCTAACTGCATGAGTGTGAGACATGCTAAAATCCAGTGGCACCAAGGCATTATACAATAAAATAATGTGATTAATACATAAATAAAAGAAATTCTTATACACATATCACAAATGGGCATCAATGTGATTCCAAATTTGGTGAATGCGACATAAAAAAAACATTGTTTTTTAGTAAAGGCTTTCTCTTTTTCAGATGTAATGAATGAATCCAAAAGAAAACAGAATATCTGTTTCACTGTATCCACATTGGGATTTAGAGCTCTCTGCCTTAACTGAATAAACGGCAGGAATACTGTATATGACTAAAGAGAGTATGTTATCACAGTCAAAGCCTCAGAGAGTCACTTTCTTATGCACAGTTGTTTTGTTAATACAGCTCACATAATAATCCAGATATTTGCAAGCTGCAGGCATTCTTTATTGTATTTTCTCCTTGAAGACACAGTAACTTAGTTATTCCAGGTTAAATGTATTGTGCAGTATGAAGTTGATTTTTCTGTTAGCAATGACCTTTTCATGAACCTTTACATTTATCAGTCTTTATATGCTCAGTGTGCAGGCCACACCTTCTGACCTCAGGGTCCCACAAAGTCTCTCGAGTGCTCTACTTTTCCTCCAGCCTCCCATTCCAACCAATATTATCTTACCATTAAGGAGTTTAGAAGGGCTGAGCTTTGGCGTGGAGAAAGAAAACATGACGTATTTGGCAGCTGTAACTATGTTAAGGGGGGGATCATCCCCACAATAAAAACAACCAGCTGAGTTTAGTCCATCATTCCAGATTCCACGACACACATACACTACTCTTGGCCAAATCCAGGAGTATAGAGGGGTGGGGGGACTAAGATTTGGATGGGATAAAAGATGCGAAAGGAACAAGCTTGGAACTAGGGGACTTATGTGACTCTGAACAAAAGCTGAGAATTGGAAGGTTTGAACTGATACTCTGCAGGGGCATAGGGGTGGAAAATTCAAGGCTTAAACTACATTCTCATATGAGGTTCATGTTAATTCAGACAGTACTTCTTATTAATCTTTTCTTTCGAAACAGCTGATAGTGTTTTTTCTACAGCAATATGGAATCAGTGCTTTATTTGATTTCTTTTTTCAGTGCAGCATGCAGCTACAGTTAATTTACACTGCATCAGGACAAATGGAGGAAAACAAATGCAAAAAGTACATATCTTAAAACATGAACTAGAAACTTGGGAAATGAGTAAACATGTAAAAGCTGATGGAAACGACTTTAATTAGGCGTTTTCACATTGGTGGAGTGTGTTTCTTGAAAGTAGACGCTTAATAAATAATGTAATATTAGCCTGTCAAGTAGGTTGTAAATAACAGAGATACATGTCTGAGAGCATAGATAAAGCAATTTTAACATTTTCTGGGATTTGCACCTTTTAATTTGATGCTGTCTGACAGATGGCCAGTCTTAGACTTGACTACATTTAGTATGGTATGCGCTTCTTGCTGGCTTTACATTGTGACTTCATGTGGCAACAGGGTTGTCCTACAGCATTGCTAAATGGCATTGAGGACATATTTTCCTTTAGGGTGTGGAGAGGGACAGGGCAGGGTAGGAATTCATATGGGACCTGATCTTGTGATGGAATAAAGGCATGGATGTATGGGAAAAAATAGCCAAACTGTCACGTGTGGCAGAGAGCAACACATAATACAGGGTGGGCCATTTATATGGATACGCCGTAATAAAATGGGAATGGTTGGTGATATTAAGGTCCTGTTTGTGGCACATTAGTATATGTGAGGGGGCAAACTCCTCAAGATGGATGGTGACCATGGTGGCCATTTAGAAGTCGGCCATCTTGGATACAACCTTTGTTTTTTCAATAGGAAGAGGGCCACGTGACACATCAAACTTATTGGTAATGTCACAAGAAAAACAATGGTGTGCTTGGTTTCAACATAACTTTATTCTTTCATGAGTTATTTACAAGTTTCTCTTTGTTCACAGCCATTGACATGTCGAAGAGGTTAACACGTGAGGAGCGGATCGAAATTGTGTTGATATCTGGTGAACGCAGTAACCGGGTCATATAGGGGTGTATCCATATAAATGGCCCACCCTGTACATCAATATAATATTATAAATACTATACTAACAATATAACATGAATGTTTAAAGTAAATGTGTATAACCATGATGATGGCCTTGACTTTTAACTGACTTTTGACTCTGAGCATGTCCTGATCCATTCAACAAGACAGCTGGGGGATGTTTTTACTGCCCCACCCAAACTGTGAAAGACAAAACAGTGTTAAGTGATGTCACTACTACTGCTAATGTAAACCAGCTGTGGACCTTATGGGCTGTATGGGACTTAAATTCCATGTGTTTTAGACCACAGATGTGTGTAAGTATGTACGTGTCTGTGTACAATTTGTCAGTAGTTGTCTAAGGAGCTTGGCAGCAGTTAAAAATCCAACTTCTCTTTAAACTCAAGCAAAATCACTCGCTTTTTTTCTGGGAAAAAATAGGCTGAAAACAGGAAAACATATACAATGTTATTTATTTAGGTTTTTTTTTTCATGTTAAATCCCATTTTAACTACAGAGTGCTAGTGAAATTAAATAGTCACACTGAAATATTGATGTGATAATGGTACGATACAAGATGGATCAAAAGAACAATGAATGCAGGACATTCCAGTTTGATATCAAAGTTTTCAAAGTTATTATCATTATTGTTATTGTTATTAGGCATGTCAGGGAAAACTGATGTTACCTGTATTTATAGGATTAAAAAAGGCATATTTGGACCATTAGATGCTGAACTTGATTCATTTCTAAATATATTTCTTTGTCATATAACCTAGATAAAATATCATGATGATGGGAGAAGTATATAAACACAATAAAAGTTATAAAATGAAAATCTTGGCACATAGAATGAGCAATACAAGTATGGATACACAGAATAAAAACAAGTATATACAGTACTGGACAGAGAATAATACTAACAAATAGATGGGCAGAGGTGACATAAGGAGGCTCTGTGTCTAAAGTCCTTGTGAGTTTGTTGGTCAAACAGTGAGTAAAGAGGCCTTTTGGCTTCGTGATTAATGCCACGGTGTGACTTAAACGTCAATACTCGTTTTGCTTCACCATGGTGATTGTCCACAACTTGGTTAGCCATCCTTTTACAAATTTCTACATTTTTCATGGCTGTTGCATGCGGTTAAGATTTATCATAATTTTACAAATTTCTACATTTTTCATGGCTGTCGCATGCGGTTAAGATTTATCAATCACTGACATGACTGATCAAAATGATCATGAAGCACACATATGTACATACAGTACAATAAGGAGGATAAGTGTAGATGCATGTATGGATATATACAGTCAATGCACAGTACAGATGCAAGTTAATACACTCATGCAAAATGTCATAGTACACCCACACACACACACACACACACACACACTTTCAACCACCTACGCACGTTAAGAATACAAGATGTATTCTTGTAAACAGATTTCAAGGCAGTGTAAGTTAGTTCCTGTCTGTCTGTTATGGTCTTACATTAATGTAAGGACACGTGTTGTTTAGGTGCTTTAGTTGTGTTTTCAGTTGGATGATTGGCTGGAGCATTAAACCAGATGACAGGCAGAGCCTCTGCTGAAGTGGACAGCACATTGCTGTGACTCCAGAGGCTGCAGTCATCATGGTAGCAAGCTGTGGTTAATACTAACATTATAGTCTTTTCACACCCAGAACTGCCCATCTCCTGTCTTTCTTCTCCTTCCTGACTGCCATCAAAACCCAGGAACCGAGTCTTCGTCGTGATTAATCAGCATCATTCATCTCTACCATTATTGTCATCATCAGACTAGTTTTCCTGATTTTTTTTGAGGCACGTAGCTAAAAGAGCAGGTAACAGGACCATATAACAACAGGAGTGTTTATGTAAGGATTGCTGTAGTCCCTAAAGTCCACATTTCTGTGGCCTCTGTGTGATTAGGCAGGAGTGAATTCTGAAAAGATGTGTTTTCATCAGACGTGTCTGTGTGTATAGATGGGTAGTTCCTGGGATTCAATTCATTTTGGACTATTTCACAGCTCAGTGTCTGCTGTCTTGGTGGTGGAGTGGCCGTTGGTAGGTGGAGGAGGTTGGGTCTTTGCTGCCTCGGGGGACTCTCCATTTACGCTGGGTTTCTCCTGGGTCTCGGGAGTGGGGATGAGGGGAGCTACAGAAGCAAGAGTGCTCCCCTGGTTCTCCTGATCTGCTGGATAGGTCGCATCTGTCTGTAAATAGACCACAAGTAGGAGCTCATCAAACAAAGACTAGAAATTTTCAACTGACCATCACAATACACACATGAAATAATATAAAGTCGTCTTTCTGTTCAGAATTTACAATTGTTATAAAGATTTTTAATTAATCCAGGGTGCACGGTATGGTGTACTACAGCTTACAGTAACACCTGTGCCAGCTTGAATATATAAATAAGTGAGTTCCACAATGGAAAGATACTCTACTGTATATTGTACAATATTCTTACCAGCTTCACTGCCTTGGTGTCAGTCCTGCGTTGGCAATAGCAATAACCTACAATGATTCCAAGGGCAGCAAGCAGACCACTGACAAGTAGTCCCACAAACACAGAGGAAGTTGATGATGACGACGACGATGACGACGACGACGACGACGACGATGATGATGAATGCAATGATGGTGATGGACTTTTAGTGCTTCCCACCTACAAAAAAAGTATAAAAGGACAATGTGTGATTAAAAAAAGTTATATGGGAACAGTTAAAAACACACATTTCTGGTCAAAAAAATCCAGAAGAAAATAAGAGGTGTTCTTATTTCAGTCATGAGATGCAAGTTGTGAGAGTGCAAGTTAAGTTCTCATAGCTGAGTTTTTGCTGTCTGTATCTGTGGTAGTGCATTACAATTAGAGAACTTTCGCAGGGAGAGTAGGGTTCAAATTAAACGTGACGCCAAATGTTGGCCTTTTATAATATGATTTGTAGCCGGTGTATAATGTCCATGCTGTCCTATTTCAATGGAGAATAAAGAAGGAAGCGTGAGGATTGTCTATTTGCAAGTAGTTTAAAAAAAAATCAGAAACAATAAATAAATAAATATGATCCTATGGGCAAGCAGAAGAGAATGGATGGATAAATAACTTTTTTCTGAAATTCACCTTCTGTAGCTTTGAGAGAAACTCATATACAGTATATTAAAAAGATATTATGAAGGGTTTTCACACAAAAAGTAAGAAAAACAAAAAAGTACATACTTGCTGTTATGTGGATGGACAGTAGTTTCTGTAATAGTACACTTTTCCATATGTCACTGTCTAGGCTGGAGCAATCTCCTACAAAATATATCCTAGTTTGCAATTGCCTAATGCAATTTTCACTTTTTCAGTACATAGTTTTATTCATACACATTGAGCACAGGGCCACCAATCAAACGTGTGTTTCAGACTACACACTGGCCTTGTGTGCCTTACAGACAAGATGCAGCTGAGTGAACTTGCTGACCACACCTTCGTTTTTTTTTACCCACTTTATCCCTGAATAATGATATCATCATTGCACAACTTCAGGCTTTGTAACTTGGGAACACTTTTTATTCTTCTGTAATGTGATCCAGACTGCTTTCAGCATTCCCAGAAGACCACTGTGAGCTGTAACTTTGAATCCTCAGTTAGTTGGGAGTGGGCTCACAGCTGGACTCTTCTGTAATGCTCAGAGCTTTGAAAAGAAGAGGAAGAAACTCAGGAAGGCTGAAGTCAAATGACAAAATCAATCCCAGGGAATCTGTGCTGTTCTCCATCTGTTGCTTGTGACTGATCAAATCCTACATCTCATTCCTGCTTTGCTTGAACTTACATGACCATAGTTGGATGTTTAATTTGAATCGGCATATTTTAACATAAACAATTTATTTGATACTGAAGATAGAAGGAGAAAAACATGTGTTGGATTTACAGATTTTAGTGTTCTTATTTCCCATAACCTCCATTGTAATATTATAAAATGTGATCCACTGATACCGACTCTGTTATCAGTGTCATATCAAGCTATTTAGGAATTTCATGTTTAGTTTCAGGTTGAGTTGGACAGTTGATGGTCCTGGCTTGATGTTGCAGTAATGACCTATATAACGGACTTGTTGCGCTGTCTCTACACACCTGGAGTCACATATGGCACAATGTAGCGATGATGTAACATTTAACATCAAATTTCTTTTGTTGTTCGTCAAAAAATACATGTGCAATTACAGTTTAATAATGTGAGGATAAGTATATTGTATTAAACAGTAAGATAAATCTGTAGTTCTTTCTGTAGGTCAGATATTTCTGTTTTGACAAACCTTAAAAAGAAATAAAAAATCTATAATATATTAAAGTTGTTGCAAAAAACAGTTGGAAAAAAATGAGCCACACCTGTTCGAGTGCATGAGTGGAAACATTAGCTCTCCAGTTCATTTGTCTCCAGCATTGAGCACAGCTTCATGATTTACAACTGCTGAGGAATGTCTGAGAAAAGATCCACTTTTATGAGACCAATTTTTCCAACTGTAGGTCTTTAAACACATTCAGTTGATTCCTCCAAGCAGCACAAAACACTTCCTCTGGGCCCAAGGTGTAGGGAGCCAGATAAAGGGTCTTGGTTAGAGGGAATGCCACCAGGACGTTACTGGGATTAGTCAAAGTCAAAGTCAAAGTCAACTTTATTTGTCAATTCTGCCACATGTAGCGCTGTCTCCTCTCATATCACTGTACTTATACTCCACATATATTGCACATATACATATAACTACAGCTTTTGTCATCCCTTGTAAATACATGTTTAAAAAATAAATGTCATCATTTATATAACATGCAGCATAACATATATAATTTTCATTTTTGCTGTGTGATTTATTGGTGATAGAGGTACTACTTGTTAATAAGTTGAAAAAATATGATGCTACAGGCCGGTATTTACCATTGTATTATCATTGCTGGAGTTTTCTTCATCCATTCGCGGTTCTACCGTGAGCAACCAAAGCTCACTGTCGTTACCGGAAGCCAAACTTTTGGTTATTGAAGTAATCAGGGAATCAATGGAGGTTTCGTTTGTCTCTGAAAATAAAGTTTAAATACAAAGTTTTGTCAGGCACCATGTCATATGTCACAAAAGCATGTCTGTATATATTTTGAAGGAACTTGGCACTTTAAAATAATATCTCTAAAATATAGTGAAATTCTCTGGAATCCAGTGCTGTTCTCACATCCCATTATACCTTTTTTGAAGGTTCTTACCGTTACTGACACTCGGTGTTTTGGTAGAGGCGGTGGTTTGGTCTTGACATATCACTACACCTGTAAGGAAGGGAGAGCAGGTGAATCACAGAAAGACAGAGACATCGAGAAAAAGGAATTGCAAATTAAACACTTTATAATTAAAATGGTAAAAAAAAAAAAGCTGCTTGCATAAATACACAGTTTGTCCCATATGTTTTGTCATTTCATTTCTTGCAAGGGCTCATAAAGTTTGATGCCAATCAGACAAAGCAGGGTTTTTTTTCTCGGCATTGTAGGTCCAAAGTATAATGTCATTTCCTATGGCAACATTAGCTAGCTTTACATTACAGTTCAAGCCTTATTTTGAACCTATTCTGTTGGATTTGCTTCAAACTTGCAGTGCAGCCCAAATGTTATGATTCCTTGGGAAGAGGACATTTATTTATTTATTATATAAAAGTGATAGTGAAGTCTCAAATGAGAGCAAGTACCAAATCTTAAACGATTAGCCTACAAATTCTGATGCAAACTAAATCAATCGGGTCCTACCTGAAGTATTATAATTAGTTCCATGATGTGTGCTGCAGTTATGATTACATTAAATATACCAAATCCCACAAAATGAGTGTAGTTAACGTCTAGTTGTTTCAGTTCATTCATACAGGTAAAGGTTCCAAAGATAAAGTTTTTTCCATCTCCAGCATTGACTCTTGTCTTCACATCATCTGTAATTCTCAGATATCAAATATCAAAAACTTCTTACACTTGGTTTTCCACAGTTATGCCAGTGCAGTACTTCTTGCAGTTGCAACACACTGCTAATGTATATATAATCACCTTTAAGAAAAGATGTTTTATGTAAATATTTGTGAGGGGTTTTTTTTCTTCATTTTGTTTGTTTCTAATAGAGGTTAAAAAGGTGGTTTGAACATCTTCTCCTGGTGATTTAAGCCTCAAGCCCACCCAAAAACATTTAACAGTTTGGCATATTTTCTTAAGGGTACTTCCTAATTAGTACTCACGGTTGTCTTAATTTTTACTCTCTGCATCATATAAAAATGAGCAGCTAAGTTTCAAAGGGTCGTGACCTCACCACACATCCATCTCCTGGGAGAAATCTTGTTTATGTAATAACTTCTTTTGGAAATCTAATATCATAATCATATTATGACTGAAAATTAATCTTAACAAGTATTTTTATATATTGAAGACTAGACAGTGTTATTAAACGTAAATGCTCCGATAAAAAGCTCCTTTGACTTTTATTTTTTAAAAACAGCCGCAAAAAGATATAACTATGTAGCACAGCTTTGCCACAGTCATGAAGGGTAAATGAGACATAATCAGCATCAGGGATCATCCTGCCTACTGTATGATGGCGGTGTAATTCAATTCAGCCTGAACTTCTAAACACTCCCCTCCTCATGGAAGAAACCCAGTGTAGTGTGTAAACAATTTTACGTGTAACCAAAACTATTCTGCAATCAGAGCAAAATGTTTTCAGTGCACCACTATCATTATTTAGTGAAACACAACACACATTCATGGGACGTAGATTTAAGTGTTTAGCGTGTGTTTGTAATCCTATAAACATGGCTAATTTGAACATATTCTGGGGAAGTGCCAAGGTCACTTTGAAATGTTTTCATCCAAAACAAGAAGCTAGCGAATGGCCAATATGATGCATCTACCACTTGGACCATGGTTCTCTCCAGCAATGTGTCCTTTCTCACCAACAGCATCAAATGGCTGGATATTGACCAAAGTTGGTCATATGCTACAATTAAATTTGTAAATTGGGGTACAAATCTGGGCTATCAGATCATTCGATTAATTATGATTTAATCTGCTGTGTTTAATATGTCAAAAATAGCCAGCCTACCAAATTGACTTACCTTAGTTTATACCTCGTGACTCTAAATATTTCTTAGTGCAATCAGTATCAGTGAAAGATTTTAAAGCATTCCACTTACTAAGCAGTCTGTATGAATTGTAAGACACTGTAAATCCCTTTATTCTTATGTTTTATAAATGAAAAAAATCACAATTCAAGAAAAAGGTGATTACATTAATCCTTACATGTTGAAACATTATGGAATATGTCAAATCGTTATAGGTAGTAGTGCCTCACTACTGTGGACAGAGAGAGCTTATACAATTGTGTGAAAAGTCTTCCTATGTTTCCAACAAGGCCCCCCTGGCCTCAACAAGAAGCCTTAGGCGCTCCAGTCTCAACACAAACACAGGGAAACACAAAAAAAATGCATAAACACATCCTTGGTCTCTCTCAGAAAGCATAAGGCCAAGACTGTGAGTAAATCTTGGGTGAAGATTGAGTAAATCTTGCTCTTCACTGCTTGACTACATGAAGTGGACTTCCTGGCCTGGCTGTCCTCCTTTTAGCCTGGGTGTTCTACCGGTTGATGTGGTGTGTAGCCAGATGTAAAGAACTAAATAATAAGTTAAATCAGATGTGCTGTACACTGTAGTTGTTGTTGGACAAATTAAAATTACAGACAGTGAGACAAAAGGTAAAACTTCTTTGAAAAAAAAGAAATATGAGTCTCTTAAAGCACCTGCTTTGTCTGCTGCCATGACGTGCATGTATCTCCCGGGAAGTGCTTTGTTCTCTTTACATAGTTTATAGGACCACAAGAGTTTTTAACATGCTGCTGGAGTAATGAGATGCTGGTCTCAAGTTTAATCCAACTGTACTTCATGTACTTTAAATGGCAGGGGAATGTAAGCAACCCCTAAAGTCAGATACGCTGTAAACACTGTGGATGTCAGCCCCAGAAATAAAGCAAGATGATCCCTTGGGAGATTCTCAAGAATTTCACAAGTGACTGGATTTGTAGTAATGGATTACAGCATGAAAGGTCATTACAGAACTGGCAACCTGGATTGCACATCATCAATCACTACTTTTAGAAAAGCTTTGTGTATTCAGTCTATAGAAGATTCAAGTCTGTGCAGGGGTGCTATAGCCACATGTTGCAGGGAGGAGGCCGCGTATCATTATCATCAATTTATGCACTAAACTTGCTATGACAGCCAGACCTTTCATTTTTACATTTGGTTTTGTTTAATGCCAGACAACCTTCTTTCACCCCTCCTCCTCACTGGGGAAAAGTCTTCCCTTGCTGTATGCACTAACAGATGCAAAAACATAATTTCAAGAGCACGGTGCCAAAATCACAAGCTAGAGAATGTACAAAGCGTAATGTTCTCTGAAGATAGTTCAGTCGGTTGCTACCTAGGTAAGGTAAGCTTAAATACAGATTTTACTCCTGTGTGTTCATTTTAATGGTAGCTCCAGGTCTCTTCCTGAGAATGCAGCTTCTCTACTCATAAAAAAGTACGAAAATTAAACTTTTTATGTTATCCTGTGCTTGCTTCACTTTATTTACTTGATTTACTTTTAGCTATTTATGGCATTTAAAGGGCAGTTGAGATATTGAGTCCAATAGCAATAATGATGAGCATAACAATAATAAAAACACACTTTTTTAGCATCAGACGTTGAGCACTTCCTTTGAATTTCTCATTCAACCATGATGAAATTGAAATCGTTGATCTAGTGCTCAAACTGCATGAGTGGATTCTGCTGCATACAATACTTGGAATGCTTGTTCTGAATTCATCATCATCATCATCATCATCAATACTTTACTTGCGCTGAATAAACAGACTCCTTTAATGCATAAGTCTACTGTATGTCTGCCTATATATGAGAATAAGGATAGTTTTATTTCCCATGTCGCTGTTATGGGAAATAACTAAATATGAAACAAAAATCTCTCAGCTGCCATTGTGATTGTCATCCCAGCTTTTGATTTTAGGGTGGGGAAGAAGCAGGAAATTACAGTAAAAACAAACGTTGTCACACCTGATTAAGTGGTTGCAGTCAGACAGTATAAGCCGGGGACAGGAGTCCTTTACTTATGGTATTTGAGGATGAGGCCTGTTTCCTCTCTGGGGAGATTGGGGAGGAGGCCTGCAGAGGGGGATGAGTGGTGCAGCTGCAGCAAGTCTCCTTGGGGAGCTCTTTCCCTCCCTACATATGTGCTGTGCTGTGAAATCAGTAACATCATGCAAAAGGAGAAAAGTCTCAGCCCTAAACCTTGGGGCTTAGATTCGACCTCCACCCAGACTGTAGAGACAACACCTTGGATGTCATAATGAGCCACACCCTCCTTCCATTACTTCACCAGATGTCCAAAGCAGAGCCCAAAGTCTCCCATCACTCATCCCTTGCTACTCCTAGTTGTTCCTATTAAGAGGAATTCTATTTTATATTTCAAATTTAAGCAGAGATTCTTTTCAATCCTGCAGGCCTTCAAAAAAAAATATAGATCTTTTCATAGCATAAACCAACTAAACACCAAAAAAACAAGAAAACAACAGCACACTAAATCACTACAGTTCCGTTTATTGCTATTTGGTGCAATGAAAACACTTGGAATATACCAGTTAATCAGTGAACATAAGAACTAATTTTGCTTCTGCACAGACGGTTGGCAAATGTTGACTTTTTCCACCCTGCACACGCCCCTGCTTTGAAACAAAACACAACCATAAAAAAACAACCCAAAAAACAATAATAATTAACAGGCTTGGAATGTTATCCATGCACATCCTATTGTATGACAGGATGTGGATATCACAGCACACAGTGACCTCTTATAACTACAGGGACAAACGTGCTGGAAACTACAGATAACAGCCATCACCAGGAACATACTCTTGGAGTGGAACTATAATGCCTGTTGTTAAGAAATATAACCTGGGACTGTTTTTATTAGGAAGATTTTACTTACTGATATTCTACCCAAGCCTATTGTGTTTCGAAAGCTATAGTACAGAAAAAAATGTTTTTCAGCAATAAAGCAAAAAACAAAAAGGTAACATTATTACTGATAGCAGCCGCTCACTGTTGTTTTTATTCAACCTCTAATTTACTCATTAAAATCGTTTCAGCAGGGCAGTGAAACTCAAAACCTATGTTTCCAAAACAGTCTATCCATTTTCTTAGTGGATTAGAAACTGGACACACCAGCTGTTCCAAGAGGCGGCAA